CTGGAGGGTGACTACTTTTGTTCCCCATGGTCCCTGTGTGTGTTGTAAAGTAGTCACCGCTCCAAGCTCACTCCCGTGATGGACTACAATCTCAATACAAATCAGTAACTAAACCTGAGATTGAAGTCCATCACAGGAGTGAGGTTGGAGCAGTGACTATTTTACAACACACACAGGGACCATGAGGAACAAAAGTAGCCACCCTCCAGGAGGAAGGACAGTGTCAGCACCAATTCAGAGATGATTTGAGGATCTACAGCCGAGTGATGCACAAATAAGATATGTATTTGTTCATAGTTAAGATTTAACTTCTGAGTTTAGTGTTACTTTAAATATTGATAAATACACTGTATTTCAGGTAGTTCAGGCTATTTTTTTCTTCCGGTTGAATCTTCATCAAATATTAGTAGTAGTAGTAGCAGCGAACCTACAAAATACCGCATTGTGGGCAGTAGACAGCAAAGGATAATGGGAATTAATACATCTTTGTAACAAGATATACAATGTAACTGTTTTAGAGGGGGAATTAGCAAATAAATGTAACCATTGCCACTACAGGGATTCCTATAGTAGCAATGGTTACATTTATGTGCTCATTCCCTCCAGTGTTTTGTAAAATTGTTGCATGGTATCTTTTGTGACTTTGAGCATCCACCTGTTATTTGATCATCAACTCACATATGGACTAAATCAAAAACCTCAAGGAAGGTGCATCAATATTTGGTGTGCTCAGACTGCTGTAAGTGACCTTTCATTAGTCAGTTACTATATAATGCATGCTATACTGCACAGGCGTATTTAACAAAGCAATGCAAAGTGCAGTAAACCTGATCTACTACAACAAACATGTGTGTGTTTACTGCTGTCTGATTGGGTAGAAGATCATTTCAATTTGTTTAGGGTTACTGGTCTTTACTAATTCTTTTTTGGTTTTTGCTTATTTTGCTATAAAATACCTAGTGTGCAGTTCCCTTTTACTTCCCTTTTGTTTTGTGAATTATCGACTTTGGCACCAAAACTTCCCGTGGTGGTGTTTGCGTGACAGGGCTCTGAATATCAGGTATGTTTAAAATATCTTAGAGAGGAAGACAATTTATTTTGTATTTTTTTTAAACCACAAACCAGTTTTAATTTTACATACACCCAAATATATGCTAGCTGTATTTGGACAGAAAGAAAGTCATGACCTGTTCATTTCAATTTTGGCGAATAGGGAAATAGCCCACCGACAAACTGGTTACTAAAAGAAGGCTCCCTGATCGGGTGTCCCTGATGTCCTAGAAAGACACCTCTTATTCTGTTTCAATATCTTCATTAACATTTTAGACAAAGCTGAACAATCAGTGCAAATGTCACAAAGAAACATACGAGGTAAACAGTACATAGAGAGGGAATAAGTTATCCATGGTGTCATTTACCACTTTCTGGCTTCTCTGACTTGTATCTTGAATGACAGCAAAGTAACACAATATTGTTACAAAATGTAAATAATGAAAGAAGTTGAGAGATCTGTGTTATTCTGTAACAGCTTCTGCTTCTTTGCTGACACTTCCATCCCGAAATGTAAATAATCTGACAGCTGTCACAGAATACACAAAAGTGTTTAAAAGAGAACTATGGGGTTAAGGCTTTTCCCCCAAGCTCTCCTTAGGGTAACGGGAGGACACAAACTAGCATCCTCCCGTCACCCTAAGCTACACCCTAAGCTACAGCTCGCGGTATACTGAGACGCCACAGTATACCGCAAGCTACTGCTCGCAGTATACTTAGACAGTGCAGCTGAAGCGGATCCCAACAATTATGTCTGGATCCGCCCAGCTGCGTGAGTGACAGCTGGCTCAGCCTATCTAGAGGCAGAGCCAGGTGTACCGGCCCGCTCACCTGTCCGTTCCGCCAGCCAGCGCTGGCGGATCGGAGCGGGGAGGGGGAAATCCAGCCCCTCCCCTGTCACGGCAGAGAGCTGTGACAGGATCGAGAGGTGAGCGAACGCCGGTATGTGTTCCCTCACTTCCCGATCTACTGAGCCGACCTGTGACAGTCTCATTGTCACAGGTCGGCTAGAACTATGAGGTGAGTGAAAAGCACTCGCCTCATAGTTCTCCTTTAACTGTTCACAGTAATAATAATTTAAAAAAACAATGTGGGGCTCCCCCAACAATTCATACCAGACCCTTTATGTTTGGTAGGAATGTTAGGGGGGACTCCCCGTGTTATTAAAAAAAAAAAAAACCAGCATGCGGTTCCCCTAATTTGGGTAGCAGCCAGTTACAGAATAACACAGATCTCTCAACTTCTTTCATTATTTACATTTTGTAACAATATTGTATTACTTTGCTGTCATTCAAGTGTCAAAAGTTAAAAAGAAACAAAGTAAACATTTAACATCACTTTTCTGCAACACATTTTTGTTCGTAATGATCATTTAACTCATCCGAAATTAATGAAAATTCGGATTCATTAGAATCCGAATGTCCAAAACATTGACTTTCAGACCCGAATCCTGAAAAACTAAATAACGAAACATCCAAAACAAAACTAAATAACGAAACATCCGAAACAAAACTAAACAATTTTTTTTGCCGGCTTACATGTCTAGAGGAAAGTGTGGAATGGGAGAGAGAAAAGGTAATAAAAGGACATGAGTGAAAGGAAAAGAGTAGAACCATCAAACAAGGACATGGAAAAAATAAAAAGACATAATGAGCTTGCTAGAAGGCAGCACATGAAGCCATCCAATTTGGGTGAATGGGTATACCCCAAACCAAAGGAGGGACCATATCATCAGCGCACAACAGGCTATGCATGTGCATCTCGGATGGTAAAGTCTTATCCGCAGTTCCTTCACATGCAGGAATTTTTTATGTTTCTCCACCAAAATACTTGTCAGACGCTCACTGGCCATAATGACATTCACCCTTTGTCTGATCTCCAGATAAGGAATAATTTGTTTTTTCCAATTGCTAGCAATAGTCAGTTGAGCTGCCAGGACGCTATGGTGCAAGTTGAACCTTAAATAATCCATCCACATTACCATGTAGAAGAGCTATCCAGGAAGATTCGGGATGCTTCTGTTAAACAGCGTTCCTAGCAACTTCAAGACTTTAGACCAGAAAGCAGAAACAAATGGACATGTCTACCAAATATGTAACATGTCACCAAGCCACTGGCATCCCCTAAAACACTGACTGAAACAATAGAGTTCATACGCAAGATTCTAGAGGGGACCCTATACCAATGCATTATGACTTTGTAGGCAACCTCTGTGTTAGTAATATATAATATCCAGGGAACAGATAGCCAGAGCATTCCAGAGCCTCTCCCATTCTTCGGCTTTTTTAGTCACACCACACACAAAGTGGATATTGGCTTAGGACCAGGTGGACTGCGTAAGCAGATGCAGTCAAAGCAAGTTGTGGGGGTAGTCATAAACTTATTTCTCTTTAAAGAGGGGACCCAGTGTTGTATCTGCAAAAATCTGTACAGTTTCGATGTGGGTGGGTTGCTTATGCTCGCAGATATAGTCCCAAGAAATGGTGGAAAAAGATGAAAATGAGGCATTATTTCTTTGGTGATTCTGATCTTAAAGAGATCTAACCTGCAGGCTTCTGAGTTTAAATGGCCATGATTCTTTTATCTTTCAGCCCTCTGACAGCATGCTTTGGAGCCTTCCAGTGGTAAAATCAATAACTTGGCAGTAACTCCAGTTTCCATTTGACTCTAGCAGCAGCTCCACTCCAGATGCTTAATTTGACCCTGAGCTAACTAATGGCTGGCTTTTACTGCCATGTAAGATAATAACTTAATATGAAGATTATATAAATCTAGTAGTAAAATGATACTACTGAAGGAGCTCAGCTATGAGGAACAATTAGCTGACCTGAATTTGTTCTCTCTGGAGAAGAGGTGATTAAGGGGGGACATGATTACCATGTTAATACATAAATGGTCCATATAAAGAACTTGGTGCCAAATTATTCACGTTAAGGTCACTGCAAAGGACAAGGGGGCACTCTTTGCGTCTGGAGGAAAAGAGGTTTAACCTTTGCATACGGAAAGGATTCTTCACGGTAATGTCTCGTTCACACCTAGGCGTATTGCATATGCGCGTCTGTCGCACGACCGTCGTGCGTTTTTTACCGCGATACGCGGTAAAAAAGTCGCGCGACAAACGCACATTTCCGAAGGCTACTTGGCTGTATCCCAATGGAAATGCGCAACAAAACGGCCCTAAGTAGTACATGTACCTTTTCAGGCGTGGGCTGTTTTGTAGCGCGTTAGGGACGGGCGGAAATACGCCAAGGTGGAAACGAGACCATTGAATACAATGGGATTTATATTTTTGAGCGTTTTGTAGAGCGTTCGTCGAGCGTAGAACGCGCTACAAAACGTTCAGGTGTGAACGAGGGCTTAGAGCTGTGAAAATGTGGAATAGACTCCCACAGGAGCTTGTTCTAGCTAGCTCAGTTAATTGTTTAAAAAAACATCTGGATGTATTCCTAAATGCACAGAATATTACTGGATATTGAGTTCTTATAGGTATATTAAGCATCAGAGATTGTTGATCCAGGGAATATCCGATTGTCTTATGGGATCAGGAAGGAATTTTTTCCCGTTGGAGCAAATTGAACCATGCTTTATAGGGGTTTTTTTTTTTGCCTTCCTCTGGATCAACATTGGGCAATTGTGGGCATAGTGTTTTGTTTAGGCTTTTCTTCTTTTTTTTTCTTTGTATCTCTATAGGGTGGACTCGATGGACTTGTGTCTTTTTTCAACCTGACTAACTATGTAACTATGTAAGCAACTGCTGGGCAGGCAGTAAAATGAATTGTTGCTTTGACCTCCATGGCTGAAGCAAAGGTTGGCATTTATAGTGTTAAGTGTTCATACTTGCATATTTTACCCCCTTTAATTGTAATAAAGTGTTTTAAAAACGTCAGGTTTTAGTTGGATGCATATCGTTGTATTTAATTAGTTTTTTTATTTGTTATATTTTTAGACCTGCTGGATCACCTTTTGGTTGGATGTTTAACTGATTAATGGAAGGCAGAAGTCCCTACAGAATATATGATCCGGGAGGCACAGCCCCAAACCGACTGGCCGCTCTGAGGCAAAACATGGAAGGAATATTGAGTTTGGGTAAATAAAAACATTATTCCTGTAGTATTCCTGTCATCTGCACATTTAGGGGTCTTTTTACAAACAAGTAGCAGAGCCATTGGCCCTGTGCACCTCTCTAAATATTCATTCTGTGAGAATAGAGGCAAAAATGATATACCAATTCTTGCCAAATGTAACATAATACTGCATTATAGCCACTAGATGGAACTGACGAGCATAGGAAATAAACACTTATTTCTAGGGATGCACCGATAACGTTTTTTAAGACCAAGTACAAGTGCCAATATTTTTCCTCAAGTACTCGCGGATAACAATTACCGATACTTTTTTTTTAGCATCCTGTGACAATACCGACTAATGATTTTAGAACAGCGGTGGAACACACAGGCCTGGTCGCAGCTGCAACCCTGGTAGTTCTGTTAGGGAACCAAGAAACCAGACAGAAACTTAAGCACAGGTTTAAAATAAAATGAGTTTATTGAAAACAGCAATAAACATAAATGGCAAAAACAAAAGAGAAAGTCCAGGATGTTGTCAATGCCGAGCCAGGAGTCGGATGCCAAAACGGGTAGTCAGCCAAGCCAGGTCAGGGAGCATGGAGAGCAGGATGAATGGAAACAAATCCGGAGTCAGGAACCAGGAGATTAGTCAGCCAGAGCCAGGGTCATACATACACAGACATCAGGAACACAGCAGCGCACTTGGATGATCAGAGCAAATGCAAGGGGGCGGAGACTGAATGCACAAGGAGAAGGTTAAATATAGGGCTGCAACCAACTAATCAATTGATAATGCGAATATTGGCAACTATTCTCATTATTGATTAGTTAGTTGGATCCCCTAGCTCTCTCCTCCATGCTGGTAGGAGGGCACAGAAAGCAGTGGGCGGGTGCAATAGCCAGCCTGCTATTGGCTATTGCAATTTGAAATGGAAAATAGCAGGCTGGCTATTGCACCTGCTGTATTTACATTTAGCTACCGTCTGTAGAATTTTAGCACTGGCAGCTGTCATTCCCTGGCTGAAGCTATTCATGTGCCATGTGCTTACAATACATTTTTTTTGTTTAATTATAAAAAATGAAGGAAAAAAGTCATTTTCAGTTTAGGCCTGACAAATTCTGCTGTGGGAGGTGCGTTGCAGTGCTATTCATTTCACAGTGTATTCATTTGTGTATTTTATTTTAAATTAAGGATGGTATTTGTTTAATTTTTTTTAATCCGATTTATCGAAAAAATAATCGGCCAACTAAGAGATTTATGAATATAATCATTAGTGGCAGCCCTAGTTAAATAGTGACTTGGTGCCTGCATCATCACTGTGGGACAGGAATTACCCAAGAGTCTAGCTAGTGCAGCAGAGTGATGGTGTGTCCCGGTTTTGACAAAAGAGGGCGCCAAAGAGCAATCATGGTGTCACAAATACTTCAGCCATGCTGCAAGCAACTAGACAAGGCAGGGTAAGAAACCCTGATAAGTTCTGCACTGACTCCAAGCTGTAGAGGGACTACAAATCTCAGCAATACATTATATAGCAATGTAGAATAATATTAAGCTTCATACTCTCTGAGCTGTGCGTGGTCTCACCAGTGCTGTGCGCGGTCTCACCAGTGCTGTGCCAGTGCTGTGCGGGCAGGAGGAGATGTGCTATAAACAGGCGCGTGAGGTGCCCAACAAGTTCGGGACCTTATGGCAGCCAAATGTATTTAGAAGTTTAAAGCACCGATATTGGCGCTTAGTATCGGGGCATTTTCAAGAGTACGAGTACACGTGAAAATGCCCAGTATCGGCACTGATAACGATACCAGTATTGGTGCATCCCTAAATATTTCTTATGCTCCTCAGCTCTATCTGGTGGCTATAATGCAGCATTACATTACATTGAACCAGAAAAGAAAATATGCTAAGAAAGTTTGTTTTTGCCTCTATTTACACAGAACAAATGTTAACAGAGATTCTCAGCAGGAATGGTTCTGCAAATTGTTCATAAATAGATCCCATACTGTATGCTCTTTGTGATATTACGAGAAAGCCAACAAGTGAAACAAATGGAATTACGAGAAAGCCAGGCACGTCCTATGAAATAGAGCAACTCTGGTGGCTGTGATTATGGGTAGTGCAAGATATTTGCGGTTCAATTACTAAAGGAGTAGAGCATCTTAACTTTGCAAAGTATATTCACTTGGCTTGGTGAATGAGGTGTAAAGCTAAGTGAAAATTCGCTTTGCAAAGAATACCCAACTAAATTGGGTAAAATTAGTAGGAAAATTTCAAGAAAATCATTTCTGCTTGCACATATTTGGATTATGAAGTCTGCACAGCTTCACACCATTCACTAAGCTCCATGACAATCCACTTTGCAAAGTGAACATGCTCTACTCCTTTAGTAAATCCGCTTATTCTCTCCAAAACTGAATTTTCCTTTTTCATTGTAGTTACAATTGTTTTTTGTATCCTAAAGTCACTTTATTTCCAATGTCTTGTGTGCAGAAAAAGTATATTGGTAAATGTTCATGTTTAGTCGAATAACTCAGAAATTTGGACACAAATTCTACGATTTCATCAGCAGATGTGACGTATAAAAATGGAGAACATTTTATGATCAATTTAGCAATGTATATAATAGTAAAACATGACTCAGGTGTTTCCCAATTCCCTTATCTATTCCACATGTCACTCCATTTAGTTTCTTTTCTCCATCAGCTGTTTCTGTTTCCATTCTCCCCTTGCTACTAAAAGCTGGCATCCTGCTGCATGACACTGAGGTTTTTCACTCTTTCATCTCAGGTGACTTGTTAGAGGAGTCTCAGAGTGTGGTTTTTACTCTCCGCCAGAAAGCTGAAGCTCTGACCAAAGACGACCAGCATTTGCAGCCTTCTTCATACCCAGCTGCTCCATCCCCTCACCCTGGATCGATGGATAACGGTGAGTCTCTGCTCCACAGGTGTAAAGCCGTATAGGTCAAGGCCGTGATGCATTTGGGCGTCTTCTATTATCAAGGATGGAAGTAAACCCTATACACCTTTAATGTGATCCAGATTTAGATAGTGACAATCGGGGCTGGATTTACTCTCTCTGCTGACCCAAGGCCAAGTCCCTGAATGCGCCCCCCCTCCCTGCCAACGTATAGAACCTCAATGCCCCCCCCCCCCAATAGAGAATGGCAACCAGATTTTTTTTTTAATAATTTCATTTTGTTTACATTTTTATCACTTATTTTAAAAAAAATTTAACTTTTTTAAATGTTTATTATCTTTTACTTTTTATTGTTTATAATTTATTATCTTATTATTTTTTACTTTTTTTATTATTTTTTCTTAGTTTACTATTTTATTTTTTTATTTGATTTTTTAATCCATTTATTTGATATTTTTTTATTTTCACTTAACTTTATTGCTATTACACAGGAGCTAACAAGCCCCTGTGTTAGCGCTGCTTGTCTGAACACACACAAGGACCATGGGGAACAAAATCTAACAAGCCCCTGTGTGATAGATTTGGAGGTGACAGCTTCTTTTTATTGAACCAGTTTGGGTCAGACCTGCAGGCTGCATACAAGTGATCTCTTGTACTTAAGGAGCGACACCTTCCCACCTCTGTACATTTAGCCCTGCTTGCCCGAACACACACAGGGACCACGGGGAACAAAAGTAGCCACCTTCCAGAAGAAAGGACAGTGTTAGCATGAATTAAGAGATGTTTTGACAATCTACAGCCGAATGATACACAAATAATAGAAGCAGGGACACCGACACTCCAATATATTTATTATTATTATAATACAGGATTTATATAGCGCCAATAGTTTGCGCAGCGCTTTACAATATAGGGAAGACATTACAATCACAATACAAGCCCCTGAGGGCTTACAATATAAGCGTGAAGAAAAGTCTTATTTATTGAAGAGATGCAACATATCACATAAATGCGACAACCGTTTTAGGGGCCCCACAGGATCCCCTTCCTCAAGCAATGACATGTGGCACTGTGTGACCCGGAATGGTCGTCGCATTTATGTAATATGTCGCACCTCTTCAATAAATAAGACTTTTCTTATTGGAGTGCCGGTGTCCCTGCGTCTACTGTTATATGACGGTTGCCATCCGTCGATCACCGCAGCACCCATCTGATTCTTTTGGAGACAAGCGGTCAGGAGTGCGATGGGTTCATGGATCCGATACACAAATAAGATACATTTTTGTTAATAGTTAAGGTCCTTGAATGTATTTTTAAGATTTAACTCCTGAGTTTGTCAATACTGATAAATACTCTATATTTCATATAGTGTCAGTTGTGTCTCAAAACGTTGTTGAGATCACTGTATATGTTCTCCTGTTTTCAGTGGTTATTTAAAGCAACTTCAATAAAACAAATCCTTGCCTTTCAGGCTCTGACTAAACAGGCAGGTTTCCGATCTACCAGGGGGTGAGCTTATCTCAGCCACCTCATAAACCAAAAGGACTTTCAGCAACCTTCTACTCACAGCCATCCAACTTGTAGCTCTCTCAGAATGCTCTCTGAGTCCCAGGCCAGAGCAAAATCCTGCTTCAGCCTTCCCCCTTTTATCTCACCTTGATAAGCAATCATTAAGCAATTAACAATCGAGGTGAGAGACACAAAACCCGAGCTGGATTATTTAGACCCAAAGTCAACCTGAAAATCTGGTCTGGGTTTCCGCTATTCCTGTACATAGGATAGAAAGCGAGGGGAAAATATACCACCCCTCAATGACTTCTTCTCCTTTCCTTAATGCCAGACCTTGAGCAAGACTCATGATGCAGCACAATAAATAAGACTTTGAAGTGGGATAAGACAGATGGGGAAAGTCTGTTGAGGAGATGTCATTGCTTTGAGATCAGGGTGATAGAAGGCAGGAGCCACTCTGCACCTAGAAATATTAATTCTTAAAATATAAGTTTTGCACAAAATATGTAACACATAGCAACAGAAGATCCATTTCTCAGTGTCTCTGCCAATATTGTGTAGTTTGAACTTCCAGGATGCCCAGAGAACTAAACCTTGTCATTAGATTGTGATTTTTGTATCTGGTTACAGTTCTGCTTTAAAGAGGTAGTAAACCGCCAACAAAATCAAGGCAATAGTGGGTCCCCAGGAGATGTTTCCCATAATGTACTAGTATGCACAGCATATAAGCACATTAAGGGTAACTTACCTTTCTGGGCATTGCAATGCCAGCGATAGTTTCCTCTGTCAGCGCTGCTATCTTCACCTGTCGTCATCTTCTGGGTTTAGCATCTTCAGCATTTTGTTTGGCCAGGCTGGGATGATGTAAGTCCCGCGCATGCGCACAGCAGTTACGGGACCTTGTTAAGTTTGTGCACGCAAACATTGACAGGCAGGAAGGGAGCATTTATGACAGAAAAGAACATACAGGGTCTCTTCTGTTATAAAAACCCTACTTGTCAGCATTTTTTTCTAATCTTTACTTTACTTCCACATTAAATATCAGACTTAATTGGACTGATCCATTAAAGCTGAGTTTAATCCGCTAACATTTTTCTTTCCTTGGTTCATCCCTCTCCCCTTTATCAACATGCTAATATTTGTAAATAAAATCTGTCTGTTTTCAATACATATCTTATTTTAGACCAATGCCAATGATGACATCACTGGGCTACTGGGCTTCTTTGTGCAATGCAGGCAGATCATGGCTGGTGGGAGGGGTTTCTGGAAACAGCAGACTGCCCTGGGTGACACCTACATGCAATGCTGAGCCTCCGTGATTGAAAGAACTGACATCTAATTAATAAAAGGGGCGGGCCAGGGACAGTAAGGGGGGAGTAAAGGGTTAGATGATGTTGATGTCCTCCAGCCAGGAAATAAGGCAGACTCTATCTGACTTGCTGCAGCTTCTAATGCAGACTCAGAATCTCACAATATGCTGTGAAGTCAGACTAAGCAATTTCAGTACAGGAGAGGAGCCGGTACAACTAGAATTCAGCTTTACCTCTTTGTAATCTGTTTTAGAAAAAGAGAACGCAGATGATTTCTTGCATGTACGGATGGAAAAACTGAATGTGGAATCACATACTACTGCGAAAACTAACCAGAAATCTCCAACAAGTGTGAGTAGCCTAAAACATTCAAGATGTCCTTACATATTCAAGTCTCTTTAAATCACACCTCCTGACCCATTATTACTCCCCATTTACGTTAATTTGTGTCTCCCCTGGAGCCTCCACAAAATTCCTGGTGATTCTGGGTATGGGGGAGCATGTGAGCCAACTTCCAGACCTAAACACTGTCATGTGGGGGATTCTTCACTCTCCCATATAAAAGAATGAAGGACCCGGACTCATTTCTAGAAAGATAAAACTCCCCATGTGATATGCATCTGACTGTAAGGCTAAGTCATAATAATAAATTATTTTCTATATATGTTCAGCTTAATGGCCTTTAGATTTACAGTTAGGGTAGTCTACCTTTAGATTTAGAGCAGAACTCCAAGCAAAAGTGTTCTTAACCCTCGCAGTAGGGCTATCTCCGCACTGCAAGGGTTAAGTCTTTAGATTTAGAGCAGAACTCTAGGCAAAAGTGTTCTTAACCCTCGCAGTAGGGCTATCTCCACGCTGCAAGGGTTAAGTCTTTAGATTTAGAGCAGAACTCTAGGCAAAAGTGTTCTTAACACTCGCAGTAGGGCTATCTCTGCACTGTGAGGGTTAAGTCTTTAGCTTTAGAGTAGAACTCCAGGCAAAAGTGTACTTAACCCTCGCAGTAGGGCTATCTCCGCACTGTAAAGGGTTAAGTCTAGGTGCTAAAAAAAATGTTATACTCCCCCGAACTGCAGAGCCAGCTGCCTGCTACTCCAATCCCTGAAGACTGCCTTCTCCTCTACCGCAGCGATGGTATGTCCCTCTGCGTCCTATACACCGTGTATAGTGCATGATGCCTCGAAGATCATTAGACCGCTGCAGCGGATGAAGAGCGAGGCTCCAGGGATCGGTCTAAGAGCAGACTTGCTCCCTTGTGGACTTTTGATGCCCCCCCCCCCAACACTTACAGCTCTAAATGGTGTTAAATGGCCCTTTGTAAACAAACCACTCACCCTGAAAAGAAAAATACCTCAGTGCCAGTCTAGAATTCTTCCAGGGGCAACAGTGACATTACCTGACGGTATACCTGACATTAGTGAAGGTATGCCCAGCAGTGCTGGGAGGTTGAAATCCCAGTCGCCGTTGTGCTAGTTTTTGCCCTCATTATCTAAGTCCTGGTTCACACCTGGGTGTTTTACAGCGCGTTCCTACGCTCTGTAAAACGCTCAACATGTGAAAACCAATAATTGCCTATGGGCATGGTTCCCACCTGGGCGTATTTCAGCGCGTAGGAACGTGCTGAAAAACGCCCAAAGAAGTACAGGAGCTTTTTTGGGGCGTTTTGCCGCGCGTTTCCATTGGTATTCCCGAGAGTGGATCGGGGTTAACAAAGCGGTAACCCCGAGCCACACTCGGGAATACAGCGTACAGGTCTTACCTTGTCCGCGATCCCAGATGTGTCCTCCGGCGGCTGCCGACTTCCGGGTTCTGTCCCTTTGCGAGCGGCCGTGTCGCAGGGGGCGGAGCTGGCGAGAAGTTTGAAAGTGAAACAAAATTTTTTATTTTTTTTTAATAGAGAAAATAAAGGAAAAAACAAAAAAAATCATACAGCCAGTGAAACGCGCGTTTCACTGAACGGAAAAACGTGCTAGAAAACGAGCTGAAAAACGAGCAGAAAAAATACGCCCAGGTGTCAACCCAGCCTTAATGTTAAGGTCCCCACACACCTTGCGATAATCGTACGATTGTGTGGAAGCCGTGCGACCTCTACTACTGTAAGGTCGCACGACTTTAAACTTACGAACATGTTCGAAAACCCGACGAGCATCGTACGATGTTCGGCGGGTGTGTAGCATGTTCGTAAGATAAAAGCCAGACGGGCCGGTGTGCGCAAGCGCACACTGCCCGTTCGCCATTGCGGTCATCGGAAGCCCGCCCCACAGGGGGGCGCGGCTTGCGATAATCGCAAGTACGATCTGCCTGTCCAAGATAGGCAGATTGTACGTTTTTTTAAGTACCTTACAACCATCGCAAGACAAAAGTCTTGCGATGGTTGTAAGGTGTGTGCCCAGCCTTACGCTACTACCGGTACTTTCCTCTGCATGCATCGCAATGTAGTGTCGAAGGGGCTGTAAAGCTCTCCTAAATTAAAACATATGTTCACTTTGAGTTTTGTCATTCTGCTAATGTTGAAACTTTTCACAGGCTGCATGATACTGCTTTGTATACTTTTCTCGTTCTGTAACTCAGTCCGTCTGCTGTGTTACTATTCTTCCTGCATGTGAGTGGTCCGGCAGCTGATACAGGGAAAGTGTCTTCTACCTTCATTCCACAGAGTGCTAGTAAAACCAAACCCACAAATAGGGATGTTGGCTCTCACAAAATATAATAATAATGTTGAGTGAAAACAGTGTAGTCCGGGTTGAAATTGCCCATTGTAAATCAATGTTTTTCTTCTGTAGGGATCATCTTCGGAATTTGAAATTCTGGGTCACAGTGAAAGAAGAAAGCCTCTTGAAGCCAGATTATCGGTAAGTACATAGTTGGGTAATGAATAGTGATGGGCCGAATTTGAACGGCCGAAAAGTTTGAATTCGAACTCAGTGCAGGTCAATGGGGGTAGAACTTTCAAAAACGATTGTCCCCTTTAGGAGGGCTTATATGCAAGTTATTGGCCATAAAAGGTGTATGGGGGTCCGGGTACTGCTCTGGGGGACAGGAATCAACGGGGAAAAAAAAAGTTTTTAAAGGAACAGGCATTTTTACATCACTTAAAGGGTAAAAATTAAAAATTCCTTCAAATATTGTGCCTGGGGGGTCCCCATAAACTGCCTGTGAAGTGGCGGATCTGTACGATGTATAGAACCTGCTGCAGCAAAAAGTGACATTTAAAAAGAAAAAAAAAAAAAGTGTGTGGGGGTTCCCCCTTGAAGTTATACCCGGCCCTTAAGGTCTGGTGGGAATTTTAAGGAGGAACCCCACCCCCAGAAATTGGGTTTGGGGAAACGTGGGGTCCCCCCTAAAATTCCAGACCCTTGATCCGAGCATAGGCCTGGCAGGGCAGGAAGGAGGGGGGGGTGATGAGCGAGCGCCCCCCTCCCTCACACACATGCCCTCGGCACTGGGAGGGTGCTTTTCCAGGGTCACCCATGAAAAGCACCTTGTCCCCGTGCCGATGGGGACAAGGGCCTCTTCCCCACAACCCTGACACGGTGGGCTTATTTGCATCTGGATACCCCTTTAATTAAGATGCCGCTCCCCACCCCTTGTGAATGAGTAAGGGGTACCCATTCACTAAAGGGTTAAATAAAATAGTTATTAAAAAGTCCAGACTTTTGATAAAAATCCTTTTTTGGGAAAAAAAAAAAAGACATGTTTGTTTTTTGTTTTTGAAAAGCCTTTTATTTTGATTTTTTTAAACCCCAAAAATTGATCCACCGACGTAATCCATGGTCACTCACGGCGAACAGGCCGCGAACATCCCACAAAGTTCTTGCGTTCAGCGAACACTCGAACTGGCGATGCTTGAGTCGAACTTGCGGGAACCGTCAGCCCAACCCTAGTAATGAGCTAACCTGCCGCTGGACCACATTGTCTTGGAGAGAGAACTTCCACTTTGCCTCCTAGAAAGTCATTTTCTTGGTGTTCAGTGGGTGGAGAAGGTTTGTATCCTCCGCCAGATTTGTATCGCTTTTTGTGTCCTGATTAAAGCGATTCTGTAGCTGGGTCAGATGAAGAGAGTCTAGTCACCTGTCCCACTGCCTGTTCCTCCGATCTTTGCTATCTGGAGCAGCTATGCATGGCAACCAATCAGCATCAATCTTTTATTTTTAAAGCTGAACTGAACTGAAGAGAGAAGCTGATTGGTTGTCATGGGCAACTGCTCCATATTCTGGCTGCTCCAGTTTTGATAAATTCCCCCCTATTGTATTCTTTTCACAGAATACAAGGTGTGCTGAGATTGGAGGAGGGGAGATTTAATCTTTAGATGGCAAGTGTGAAAATATTGTTTTTTCCTGGAATTCAGCTTTAAATGCCAACTCCAGGGAAATTCAAAGTTTTCCCTTGCAGTGAGGCTGAACCCTCACTGCAAAGGTTACCTGATTATTTATGCCTAGGAGACAGGAAAAAGCTGTTTTACTTACCTGATCCTCGCTCACATAGCTGGCAATCACCTCCTCTCCCTTTCTGCTTTGGCTGAGGACTGCCCCTCGGTGTTCTCACGTACAATGCAGGGCTATGAAGCTTGAATTGCACTTGATGATGTAAGCAGTCCTTAGACCGCCAATACTAAGGCTAGAAGACGCTGCGGGGACTGGTCTAGCAGCCCAGAGGTAGCCGGCAGGAGATGGGATCAGGTAAGTAAAACGGCTTTTTCCTGTCCCCTAGGCATACATAAGCAGTTATCCCTTGCAGATTGGGAGCAGTCCCACAAGGGAAAACTTTAATTTTCCCTGGAGTTGCGCTTTAACTTTCCCTGAGCATGGGGTGTTGTGCTGAGAAACATTTTTCTTCAGATTGTGATTGGGAAGCAGTTAACTCAGCTGTTTGAGTTATAATACCTGTATATATATAATGATAATGTTCAGTGATGGGCTGGTGCCAAAACTACCCTATTAACACCTTCAAGGGTCTCTAAGCAGTTGCAGCAAGTTTTTCTTTTGTTCTTGTCTGTGGATATCTGAGACATGTAAAGCCTGTACAAATTTTAGGTACATGGAGGTACTTCAGCAGGCAGTATAGTAAGCATCACTTGTCGGGATTACGTGCTCACTCTCACACCTTCTTGCGTAATTTGCAGACTTGACAGCTGTTGCTCTTCCTCATTAGTAATTGATCAATCGTTTGTTTTTCCCCAGCCAGAGAAATTCCCCAATGTATTCTCTGAATGTACTAAAAATGTAAAAGTCAATATTTGATTTGGTTTGTGTTGGAAACAATTCTTCCTTTAACTCCTTTTGTGTGAAGCTCAACGTCTTCCAAGGAGAAAAAAGAGTGGAATGGACAGAAGCACATAATACGATGTTTACTTTCTCATTAACGATTACCAGTGTAAGACGTTGCGTAACATTATTATTACTCAAACATATTAGTGCTTGAGTATTCCTCTGTTTTGGTTGTTTTCACAAAGCAGGAATTCCAGATATTTCCAGACCCTTTCCTGAAATCCTGAAAAAAACCCTAATATATACGACACCCTATGCCTGTGTTTAATGTTCTGAAAAGTGTACAGGATGCTCTTTCAATGTTTTATTAAACTTTCTCTTCTTTAGTTTCCGAGTTTGCAGCATATTATCTCTAGTACACAATGTTTCCTGGTGGTCTATGTTTCCTTTTGTTGGCCTCACTAGTACAGACTGGGTTAGTCAGCCTGGCCACACTTCCCCCATTGTGCAATCTTGTAGTTTTCTTAGTGGCATCAGCATTGTTCTCTGACATTGACTCATGGTTCACGGCTCTGTGTAACACATACATGTATATGAACTCTGCATAGCTGCAGGGACTGTATGTGATGTGAATAATTCAGGGGCTTTCTCATCCTGCTTGTCAGCTGTTTAAACCTGATTGTACATGTTATCCTGGTCTAGAGCTGCAGCTAACGATTATTTTCAAAATCGATTAGGTCATCGAGGAACAAGCCTTTCAGTACACCGTATTCAGTATTTAGATTTCATCTTCTAGGTGCTCATCAATGAAACCCACCAATCAGACGCTGCTTTTTTTTTTCCTCTCAGCAGTGCTACATACAGTACATATAGATTCTAGAAATGCGAACCAGAACTTCTGAAACAGGATGCTTTATGCTGGGAGCATGCAGATGATCTTTAGTAGCACAAAGACACTGCTAAATCTGCTAGTCGTGTTAGAATGTCATTTGAACAATTTCATCCAGACCTGCTACTTGGATGAAATCCCACACATATTAAACAGGAGGAGGAGCCTGGTGAAAAATTCTCAGCCAATCAGCTGTAGTTACTGTTCGATTATTCTGACAGTGGCACACCCGCTGCTGTCCGAATACAATAGCCCAGCAGGAGATTCACAATGTTTAACATAGAAGATTTTTTTTTTGTTCAGCCTGCAGGCTAACTTAAAGGAATCTAACACTGTCTGGCCAGCTTTAGAGAAGCAACTGAATACTACATATTTGAAACAAATAGCTCCTGCAGATTAAAGCTGGCCATAAATTATGCAAATTTCAGCCAGTTCTGGAAATTCGCACAGTGGGTGCCGCTCTTTGCACCCTGTCAGCCAGCATCCGTCCATCAGCTGGAAATCTTCAAACGAACAGAGCTGGCCACCGCCCGCTGTATAGGAATACAAAAGAAACAGCGGGGATTCCTCGATCAACGCGCTCGTAGTGTTGATGGAAGAGTCTGTTCTATTTGTTTTCATTCAGCCTGCGAGTTGAACAGAAAAAATATAGAACAGTGTATGGCCAGCTTAATGTACTCAAGTAGCAATTACCCCCTGGTGATCGTACCATGATCCAAACTTGTGATTGATTGATATCACTGGCGTCTGCATGCTGCTTGTATAGCTCAATTTATAGGGAGCCATTTGTTCCATTTTAACAATTGATTGCTACTCTTTGGGCTCCTTGTATAAAGCAGTTGTATTGCCTTACTGCAGACGTTTTGCTGCTTTAAAAAAAAATCACATTTAAAATAATTGAAATAAATATTGTAGCTAAAATAATAATTTTATATACCCACGCAAGCACAGGGAGAATTTGCATACACCTTGCAGATAGTGACCTGGCCGGGATACAAACCAGGGATCCCCAGTGCTGCAAGGCAGAAGCGCTAACCACTTCGCCACTGTGATGCCCGTATACACATATTTATGCTGGATTATTGTGCTGGCTTCTGGCATTTTAATATACTCTTGTACAAGAGGCCTAAACCTTCCCTATCCTTCAGTTTCTCTCTCAGATCTGCTACCGGGTTGAATACTGTAGTTTGGTGCTGCCTCCATGGAGGAGGAATATGCATTAGCCCAGGAGTACCTTGTGGTACATTTGGCTAATGAAAGCTAGCTAAAAAGGTGATGGATTAGGGCTGGTATAAAAAGCCAGTCAGGCTATGGGAGCCCGGCCTGTATGAAGCTCTACGTGTCAAAAAAAGAAATAGTCTTTTCAGATGCATTATGCGGTGTGTCAGAAATGGCAGTATCTATCTATCTATCTATCTATCTATCTATCTATCTATCTATCTATCTATTATCTATCTATCTATCTATCTATTATCTATCTATCTATCTATCTATCTATCTATCTATCTATCTATCTATCTATATGTGTCCACTAACAGGTGGACTTTGCCTGGCTGTCATGCTGAGTCTCTCTTCTGTATTTTTACACACTCACCCAGAACAAATGTGCAGATCAGGAATGAATTTGGACTTTCTTGCTTTGCATACTCAGTTCAGATCAGTAACTCAGATAGTACTGAGGCTAAAGGGTTAGCATGATTGTCAGGGTACTTGGATTTTTCAGAGGGAGGTCAGCAATGGCATCCCCACTATTTTTCTTTAGAAAGGTTTTTTGTTAATACATCAGCCCCATGGGGTTTTAAATAACCCCTCCCAACCTTGACGTGGTACTTTCAACTTCTGTATTACCTTGTCCTGTAACTCCAGAATTAGGCCCCGTTCACACCTAGGCATATTGTCGCAGTTGACCAGTCAGGCTATGGGAGCCCGGCCTGTATGAAGCTCTACGTGTCAAAAAAAGAAATAGTCTTTTCAGATGCATTATGCGGTGTGTCAGAAATGGCAGTATCTATCTATCTATCTATCTATCTATCTATCTATCTATTATCTATCTATCTATCTATCTATTATCTATCTATCTATCTATCTATCTATCTATCTATCTATCTATCTATCTATCTATATGTGTCCACTAAAAAGTGGACTTTGCCTGGCTGTCATGCTGAGTCTCTCTTCTGTATTTTTACACACTCACCCAGAACAAATGTGCAGATCAGGAATGAATTTGGACTTTCTTGCTTTGCATACTCAGTTCAGATCAGTAACTCAGATAGTACTGAGGCTAAAGGGTTAGCATGATTGTCAGGGTACTTGGATTTTTCAGAGGGAGGTCAGCAATGGCATCCCCACTATTTTTCTTTAGAAAGGTTTTTTGTTAATACATCAGCCCCATGGGGTTTTAAATAACCCCTCCCAACCTTGACGTGGTACTTTCAACTTCTGTATTACCTTGTCCTGTAACTCCAGAATTAGGCCCCGTTCACACCTAGGCATATTGTCGCAGTTGATTCAGCGCTACAAAACGTTCATCTCCAGAAATCCCATTCTTTTCTATGGCCCCTGTTCACACCTTTTGCGTTTTGTCGCAAGCAGAAAAACGCCTGTCATGCACACTAGTACATGAGCTACTTTGGGGCAGATTTCAGAGCGTTTTGTCCTCATAGACTCAATAGAAAACACTTGAAAACGCACAGTGTGATTATTTTTGCGCACGTTTAACCCATTCACATGAATGTCCCAAAATCGGCTCACACAAATGCGCAACTTGACATACGCGCGTAAACGCACAAAAAAAAGCTCAAAAAAGACACGGGTATATTGTATGCATAGAATACTCTGCCATTGCATTATACTGTGTGAACCATTTGTGTTCTTTCTTTTTCTAATTGAAAATCAATAAATATTTTGAAACAAAAAAAAAAAAGATACGCGTAAAGCACACTTAATAGGTGTCACTTAGGTGTGAATGCAGCCTTAAAGAACTTGAATATAATGGACTTCAGCACCAGAAATGACCTAAACTCTTTAAAAGATATCTGTGTGCACTTCCCATATTTCCCACTAGGGGGAGATGACATTCCTATTTTGTTAGCCTGGACTTGACAAAAAAAGTGATGTGAATGGTCACCTGCCAGTGGTTGGAAAATTTACATTGAATATTTCTGCAGCTGGTTGCAGATATCCTGAGTTCCAGATCTTTGCATTATTTGCAGAGATCCAGGTACCACTGAAAAAATCCCCCAGGGATGCCATATTTTATGCAGAAGGTTGTCTGTGATTTGATCTCACAGTCTGTGGCTAATTGAAAGAGCTATAGTAAGGAAGTCAATGGATCAGTGGAAGAGTTTTCTTGGAAAGACTAAATACCAGTGCAGTGCCATGCGCCATGATTGCAAAGCAACAGGTTCACTTTTTTCCCTGACTTCATGCTGCTTATACAGGGTTTTAAGTATATCTGTCCCTTGAAGCCCAACTCTATAATAGTAGTAGTAGTAGTAGTAGTAGTAACAATATTAATAATAAAAGCTAAAAAAACAGCTTTGGCTTCAATGCTCACCTCCTCAAAAACACTGCCCCTTGCAGTACTCCTGTCTGCCACTAGATGTCTTCAATCTTCTGGGTTGAATGACACCCAGCATCCTTTAACCCACTTCCTGAGCTTGTGGGGCATCATGGTCTCGCTCCCTGGTGGGGGGGCATTTACACGTCACCCTGAAGTCATAGTATAAGGATGCTGAGAATAGCAGTGACGTTATTACGTCAGCAACACTGCATCATTGGGTACCATAGAAGAGATGAAGAGGAGGACCCTGCAGCATCACCTTACTGACCTAAAGACATCTAAACAAAGGTAAGTATCAAAGAAAACAGGCAAAAAATACTGGCTGGGGGGCATCCAGGGGTGAGGGATGGGGGATACTTATTGGTGGGTGAAGGTAGGTCAGAACTGGGCTGTAAATGAGAAAATACTTGTATGGCACTTACATATGTTATATCCGTGTTTTAACAAAATTGGTGTTTTCCTTTGAAAATATGCCGTCCCGCTATTCACATTCTGAAGTCGTTGTTTTCTCCGAACGATTATAACAGTTTTGAGTTACAGCAGCGGGGGAAGAGTTGGGTTTTTCCATGATTTCACTATGAAAATATATGGTCAATGATTATGAAATTTAATATTGTTCCTCTTCCGTTTGGAGGTTATTTATCTTGGTTAGTGTTCTGCTTTGTCTTCATAAAGGAAGTGCAAGAGTGAAAGATCATTTCTGTAGTGGGGTACAAAGACGTCCTATGTGACTTTTAGCTGTGGGCTATAGAAGGGGAGTCAGATGCAGCCGTATGCTCTACATAAAATGTCTGTTTAATTTATAATAAATTGGGAAGTTGCAATGAAATTGATTACCAAACACCGATACAATGAATCCCTTTAATCTGATTGACTGTTGTGCTGATATTGTGTATCAGGACCCTGGCCCGAATGTGCATCATGAAGACGAAAACCTACATCATCACCTGCAGCGTATGGAGAATTCACTGAGCATGTTCGCTGAGGAACCTGACCAGAACCGGCTTCTCAATCACATAAGCCGAATGGTGCTGGAGTTTAACCGCCTGGCAGGCAAAGTACATAAGAACGAGATGCGGACATCGGTATTACAGGTACAAAGTTATAAAAGTAAGAAAGAGGTCATGAAAAATAGTTCTGTCCTGCAAAAAAATAGTAATAATTAAAAGCCCATTTGAAGTCACAGAAATAAATATTGAGTCAGGAAGACATTGTACTAGCCACCTCCATTTCCATAGTCTTCCCTTCATTTTCCTGTAAGCACTTGCGCAGGGTATGACTGCACAGAGGCACAGGGCACAATGCAAAATGCAAGACTTGCCAGCTGGCTAATACCGTTATTGTATGCTCCTCAACATGCCAAAACTACCAATGTTTTCTTTTCACCGACAGAAGAGATAATGCTTCAAAGTAAACTTTCCTAAATTTTAAGTGTTAAAGCAGAGCTCCTGTCAAAGCAAAAATAGTAGCTCACTAAAAGATAAAGAAGAGCAGCTTTCATTCTGGAGCTGTCCCTCACCATACTTCTTTTGTGCCAGTAGATGTCCTCAGGTTGACAAACACCCAGTATTATTCGGCCCACTTCCTCTGAGCCCAGGCTGTGGTGGATATGCCCCCAGTATTTGATTTTACGCTGAACAAGAAGCAGCACAATGAGGATCATCTGTCACTCTGCTTTCTCCTTCTGCCAGCCTAGTCAGAACTGATTGGCCCCATGTGTTGCTTCTCCCTCTTACACTCTGAGCTCTGCTTTACAGGGATGGCAAGAGGCTGATGCTAGGTCAAATTCAGATACTTACACTGCCTGCGTTTCCAAAAATATGTTCAATGATGTATTACATTTATATGTCTTTTTTTTTTTGAATCTGCCTAGAGTTCAGCTTTCAAAAGTAAAAGTCCTGCCTGGAATTGTTCACACCATGTCCGGACCACAAATGTAGTGCATTTTTGCCATGTTTTTGTGCGTTGTTG